TGCCTCCAGAAAGGAAGTTTAAGCAACCGTTCCTTGCAAATCCGACCGGCAGAAGGCCCAGGGGACAGCCAAGATTGACCTGGTGTAAACATATGGAAGGAGTCTGTTCGAGACTCCATTTGTCTTTTCCCGAAGCTCAAATTCTTGCACAGGATGGGGAACGTTGGAAGCTCTGTCTGACGCGTCTGTAAATGGGGAAAGTGAATCGAATGACTCTGCATAGACTCGGTTTACTCTCTGCCGCCCAAATGTTGGCATGTGGCAGCATTTCTCTGCTGTTAGAATCGCCGATGTGGATGCCGGATTAACGTAAGCTATTTCAGAATATGAAAACAGACTTAGCGCACCGTAGCTATAACGAATATTAAGATATGTCCGGTCAGAGATGGATGGAAAAGATGGATTTTTGCATGTTTTATTTGGGATTGATTGACAGAGAGGTGCTTTGGATGGAGGAAGTAAACGTGCTGCACAACCGGCAGCAATTATTTTGATTTTAACACATACGCTTGTAACAGCATAACAGCTGTTGTCCGCAAAACACGTAAAACCCTGCTGTTTTTACCTCAGTACGGATTCGTTTGGCTGCAGGACCAATTCTGATAAACTGACAGGCGTTTGTTTTGCGCCAAAAATTCTGCTCGTCGTCGTCGACGGTCGATACAGTCAGTGGTTCTGATTGGATATCTTGAGAAGAGAAGCAGGGAGGGACTCTCTTCTGATTAAATGCCGGCAACGAAAGGCGTCGAAGGAGTGAATGTGATGTCCCTCAGACTCAGACTCAGACTCAACTGGCCTCTTTGTCTTGCCGAAGACTGCCTGTTAGTGTTCGACGAAGTCGGCAATGAGGTAAGCCGACGGTGACTTTGATCCAAGTACGAATGTGACAATTGATTGCTGATCGGTCGCCATCGGTTTATGCAGCTCCTCCAATCAAACTTCGAACCTCGTTCTCGTCACTCGCCGCCGTGCCTCGTCGACATCATGCATTAGAGGCCGCACCGCGCCACATTGGGCATTCATCATTGATCCGATCCTCCCGCCTCCAACTACATTATGAAGTAATTTGCGTGACTCATGAGTTGCTTCTTTGTTGTTCACTGTCTCTTTGTTGTTCAGCAGCAAACTGCAGACGCTTCCCGTCATGCCTATAGTGCAACCGGACCGCGGCGGTCTTCGACGCTACGCCGTATTCGCCTTCGTCGAGAACCAGACCCCCGACCAGCGCTTTACTGCCAGTGAGCAGTTTCACAACCACGAACACGTCGGAAGCAAGGAGGTAACAGTCAGAGTGCCGGATGTACATACGATGCACATGAAGCGTCTCAAAAGCCTGGAAAGCAGAGGTATTTTTTGCCTCATCAAGAGGTGCCCGTTGCGGAATTCGTGAGCTCATCTCACCTGCTGTCTTCTTCTTTCTAGTCTACCTCCCTTTCGTCGACATGACGTTCTTCTCCTCATACCGAGCCGTCGAAGAAATGCAGACTCTGATTTCAGCTGAAGACTGCGTCGATCTGAAAGACCCAGAAATAAAATTTCAGAAAGGTGAAATCATGATAATTAAATAATTTGTTAAAATAGTTATTAATTTTTATGATTATTCGTCGTTCAAATTATTTATTATACCGTAGCGGATTAAAATTTGAAGATCAATTTCAAACCTACCCATGATGCGCTTATATGTTATGGTGCTCATGATCTCTGCTATTTGCTGTCTTCGTCAATTTGTCATTATTTTTCCATCCAAAGGATGGTCAGAATGCAGAGCAGACTTGGACAGAACAGTGGGGGCTCGGATTTCGGTACGGTCTAAAAACTTCTTATGATTTCCCTTGATTGCAGTAAGTACTTTATTGTGCATTCATATTGAGAATACAACAAAGCAGCTTGGTTAGCCCAACGCATTAATGGTAATCATATTGATGAATGACCGGCGTCTTTTGACCC